TACATGTGCATAAATGAAATATCGAAAACGAGAGAATCGTGGGAGAGTGAGGTAATAAATGACTCAGTGACTAACAATTGTACTTAACTTTAACACGTTTATTAGAGAACATTTGAGCTGGTTTTTGTTATTTAACCGATTTTTTTTATGCAACAGTGAAGATGCATGTTAATTTGCTATGAAGAAAAAAAAATATTTATGACATGCCGATTTATGTGAAATCGGAGTATAGGTTTATACAATCACCTTGCAATTTTAAATGTTATATACATATATATATATATATATACACATATATATATATATATATATATATATATATATACATATATATATATATATATATATATATATATATATATATATATATATATATATATATATATATATATATATATATATATATATATATATATATATATATATATATATATATATATATATATATATATATATATATATATATATATATATATATATATATATATATATATATATATATATATATATATATATATATATATATATATATATATATATATATATATATATATATATATATATATATATATATATATATATATATATATATATATATATATATGTATGTATATATGTAGACATGTATATATATATATACACACAGACTTCAAAAATCTGATGATGTATAAAAATATTGCATATATTACATATTTATAGAATTATTTAATTAATAAATTGTATTTTTAAATTTATAATGTGAAAAAAATCTAACTTAAAGTTTCCTTTTATGTGTCTTGGTAGGAAGTAAACAACATGAGGGCGAATAAATGACGATCACCTACATTTCAGGACGTGCTGTTCCTTTAAGACTGGAGAGCATGTGATCATTAAGCACTGAGCATGTGCACACACACACACACATACAGACAGACACAACACACACACACACACACGAAGAGAAGCTGAGTGATGATGAGTGATGGAGATGTCAGATCACTGGCGGTTTAGTGTCTTTCTGGAAGTGAGTGGAAAAAAAAAAACGAGGATCAGATCTGCTCATTCTGCCGGCACCATGTCTTTATGGTGTCTCATAATGTGCTGGTTTTTCTCCGAAGGCCTCCGGAAGCCCTTGGAGCAGTACTGACAGCGGTGCGGATAGTCTTTCGTGTGGATGGAAATAACGTGTCTCTTGAATCCAGACGCATCGCCCGTGCTGTAATCGCAGTACTGACATTGATACACACGTCTCTCGCGCTGACCCTTCGCACCGCCGGCTTTCTTAACCGCGGGCGCTGCTAACTGCGCAGCTCCTATAGTCCTCTTAGGGGCGGGGCTCTTTTCCGTGGGCGGGGCTTGTTGTGGTGATGTGGGTGGGGTTTGTTGCTGCTGCTGCGCCGTTTGCTGCGGCTCCTTGGTGTGAACGGATAAGATATGGCGACTGAGTACGAACGGATCCGAAATTTTAAAGTTGCAGTGGCGGCACTGGTGCATTTTCTTGGCTTTGTGCGAGGCGGAGTGTTTTTTGAGCTCGGACGGCCGGTGGAAGCCTTTCGCGCAGACTGCACATTTATGCGGGTAGTCTTTAGTGTGCACGGAAATGATGTGGCGTTTTAGATCGCTGGAGTTGGAGCTGCGATGATCGCAGTGGCTGCATTGGTGCCCGCGTGCATCGTCGTGTGTTGTAGCGTGTTGCGTTAGCTCCTCCTCCTCTGCAAATGTTTGCCCACAGCGTTCGCAGCGAAACGGCAGCTCGCGGCTGTGCTTGGTTTTTACGTGCGTCTTCAGATTAGACGAATCCGCCGATTTGTAGTCACAATACATGCACGAGTACGGCTTTTCGCCGGTGTGCGTTCGCATGTGTTTTTTGAGCTCCGACGGATGTCGGAAACCTTTTCCACACTCGACGCAAATATGTGGGAAGCTCTTACTATGAACGGCCAGCAGGTGGCGATTGAGCAAACCTTGCTCTGCAGTTTCGTAATCGCAAAACTTGCACTTGTGTGTCTTGTTTGCGGTGGCCGGAGGAAGCGGAGATGCGATGGCGGTGGGGGTTTTCTGCTCACGATGATGGTGCTGGAGTCGATGTGAGAACAGCGCCGCCTGCTGGTGGAACTCTTTCCCGCAGGTCTCACACTCGAACGGGGCTTTGTTGCTGAGCGCGTGCACCTCCATGTGGTTGTGCAGACTGGCTTTCTTGTTGGTGGTGAAGTCGCAGTCGGTGCACTGGTACTTCTTGCGGGTCAACACGTCCTGGTGGTGGTTGCGCGTGTGCCGCTTCAGGAAGCCGCGGGACTTGAATTTCTTGCCACAGAGCATGCAGGGATAGACGGTCAGAGGCTGTCCATACGGGCCGATGATGATCGCTGGGGAGAAATAAAAGGACAGGGAGAGGATGAAAGACAAACTAGTGCTGATATAATCTTGGTTATGAACGAACACAGGTACATTTTTTGATCGTTAAAATGCAAATAAAATAGAAGCTTAATTTAGGTAAAGCTATGCATTAATAAAACGTTTTATATATACATCTACAAACATAAACATCCATATATATTTCCCAGGTGCTCCTTAAAAGGAGAACAGCTTGAAGGCTGATTTATACTTCTGCGTCAAACGCACGCGTATGCTACGGCGTTGACGCATAGCCCTTCGCCGGTGGCCGTCACCGACGTGCACCTCTCACGTCATAACTACACATCGCAACGACGAGTAGCGCAAGCTCTGTGATTGGTCGGCTTGGTAGCGCTGATGAGTCTGGGCGGGACCGAGAGCCACGCGAATGGAAGTCCCGTGAAAGAGCTCCTGATGGAAAGTTTTGTTTTGTGTTTACCTCATAGTTAAAGTTGTTGCACGTCCGCCGGTTCCTGCGTCAAAATGAGCGAGTTTGAGCCACTTGTACATTCAGGAAGTGTTCAGGAAAAGCAAAACACCAGCGAAGAAACTCGACACAGAGGAGCATTTACACCTCACTGCCAACTAGCGTTTCGGAAGTGTTAATGCAGACCAAGAGACAGCGCGCAGAAGTATAAATGCACAGCTACGGGCGTTGCATGTGCCGATGGTTACTTGGTTACACTTGACGCAGAAGTATAAACCCGGCTTTAGTCATAACAGTTATTATTGGGGCTGCAGAATTGTTCGTTAAAAGATCACACTCTTACTTTGACCCCCCACACAATCTCAATCCAGCATTTCAACGATTCAGCCAATTATATTTTCACACACGTCTTTGTAGTTTTGCATATATCGTAGGGTGATGTCAACCAATTTGCCATCGCATGTCTAATGTGAAACATCACGATGGATGATGGCATCGTCATCATAGGCAGAGGTGAATTAATTATTTATGAATAATTAATGAATTCATAACGAATGAATTATTTGTAGCCTACAATTTCAACTACCTGACCTGCATGCTCTTTGTTTTACCCATAAATAAATCATAAACAAATAAAGTTGCACACAAATTACCACATATCAATCACTTTTTCCGCGGGAGGTTGGTCTGTAAAAAAGGTGCACAACCAACGGAATCTGAGGTTTTCACTAAAAACACTAAGTAGTGTTAAAGTGAAAGCCTGAAGCAGTGTACTGATGCTGTGACAGATTCAAAAGACCAAAGAGTCGTTAGATAGAGACAAGACTAATTAAATATCACGTTTAACAACTATAGTGAGACGCGACTACATCCTTGATAAACTGTTCGACGTGCACTGCTCTCTGGAGCTCAGACCAGACGAGCGCATGACAGTGTGTGTGGGTGTGTCTGTGTGTGTGGTCACGTGATGTGCTTTTTCAGCGGACGGAGGGCTGTTCAGAAATACTAGGTAAAACAAGTTTAATAAAACTATAGCGCTTCATACCGAAACTTCATAGCAAACTTTTTTATTATCGATATTGACAGTGCTGTTCGGTCAGTAAATACAGGTATCCATTTTATCACCCAGTGCAACTATATACAGTTGAATATAACGCAAGTGGAAATGTTTGATTTTACCAGTGAAAAAGATTATCTAGAAATCTTGTAAATGACAGATTGCAAGCATCTATCTCAAACATAATACTTCAACTTCAGAATTATGAATAGTTGTATTCTGATGTCATCACTTTACTGTGCATTGATGACCAGGACTAATTAAAAGGGTCACGAAACACCAAAACACATTTTTTGACTTGTGGACAGTCGTATATGTGTCCCACACTGCTAAAAACACTATTAGGACACCTATATTTCACTAAAAAGTGTAAATTGGTTGTTTTTGCGTTATTTCAAGCAAATTCGTACTTCCGGTTTGAAACGAATTTTTGAAGCTGCGTCACGGCCATGACATAATATCGTGTATTCCAGCGTGCAGACTGGGCGTCTGTGCCAGAGTGTGTCTTATTACGTCTTACAGTGTGATGCATTAATGCATGAGTAAGGCTTGGTTCAAACCAATCAGCGTGCTCTATTGTGCAACTTCATTAATATTCATTACTTTCACAGTGTTTAGACGACAGAGACGCCACGTTGTGTTGGCAAAACAAGCGTGAAGTGTTGCTTTTATAGTTTGCTGCAGTTAAGTTTTGTTTTCATTTTCTCTCTGTGAGAGCGCAGCTGGAGTCACGTGTGGATTAACAGTGTACGCGACGCTCGACAACAATAACTTACGTGTCTAAGGAGGATTATTGTTTACTTGAGAGCTGTTCTCATCTGCAAACGCTGAGATCCGGATTCGCTTGTAGTCTTCTCTTAATAAAGACGCGGCTCTAGTTGCTGGTGATTGTCCTGTCTCTACAGATTTGGTAAGTGAGCGACCAGTGCTCTTTGTTTATTCAGTTTGTTTGTATCGAACTAAGTTAACTATTGCACCGAGTGTAAACATGTTAGCGCCACAACCAAACTTTAACCTCGTGTAGGATTTTCACCGCATTTAGTGACCGGAATAACACACGCGGCTTTCTGACGCTACCTGCCGTGTGCATCTAAGTTTCCGGGAAATGCTGAGGGTTTTTTCTCTCATTCGCTGTGCGGTATCAAACATTGCATGAAAAATACACGCTTAGAGCAGTTCCTCGAATCAAAACTCTTGTTTGTCGCGAGGGGCATGAATGAATTCCCTGAATGAAAGAGCCAAACTGCAGTTAAAGTCCACCATTTAATAATTTGGCAAATAATTCGACTACAGATGTCCATGTAGGTTAAACACCATCACTTTCTCCTGTGTGTGTGTGTGTGTGTGTGTGTATTTTGACTCTGAAACTCGCGCGTGCCCAAATAGACACTCCCACACCATCTTTAGTTCCTCCGACACTCCCCCTAAACAGAGCTGGACACGCCCACTTTTCTGACTTTTTCCAAAGTAGAGGTGTGAAAACACCCTGCTGAAACGAGGGGGTTTCATGGCCCTTTAAAGTTCAAGTCCACCATTCAAAGTCTATACGAAATTGAGCATTTTAACCAACAGAGCTACATAAAGGTCTAATATAATTGTTGTTTTACCATGTGTTTGAGAGTAACGGTAATAGCCTACTCATACTAACCTTTATTTTACATCTACATAATTGTGAGAAAGCAAAAAAAAAAAAAAATAATCCATTACCTGTCTGGACCTGTCGAGGTTCAGCTCGTCTCCTGTTCTTGCCGTGTTGCCGGTTGAGTTTATCCAGTGCATCCGACTCGTCGATGTGCAGTAAAGCGCTCGCTGCTCCATTACGGTTCTCACAGCCTTCATCTGCTCCTGCTTACGAAACAACAAACCAGCAATGCTCTATCAACAAAACTAGGGCTGCATGATATTGGGAAAAAACTGACATTGCAATATTTTGTTAGTCTGCGATATACAGTTGAAGTCAAAATAACTCTCCCTCTGGTAAATTATTTTTTCTCACTCAAATATTTCCCAAATGATGTTGAACAGATTCAGGAATTTTTCACAGTATTTCTTATAATATTTTTTCTTCTGGAGAAAGTCTTATTGGTTTTATTTCAGCTAGAGTAAAAGCAGTTTTAATTTGTTTTTTAAACCATTTTAAAGGGCACATAGTTTACCTCGTTTTTATGATGTAATGTTAATATTATGGATCTTCTCAGTGTGCCAGTTTAGGCTCAGTTCAACACACAGTTCAGATGTTTTTATTATAATGCCTTAAAGAGTGTCATGTTGGGGGTGTGTACACAGCTCGCTGTTTTAGGAGTTTGTCGTTTTACATGAAAATTAGTTTCGGCTTCCCGCCCAACGTAACAACGTTATTTTATTTCCAATGGAGAGACGCGCACATCAGGCAACGCGCTTGCACTTTTCCAGCTGCAACTAGTTAAGATCACAGGGAGCTTCTGTGTTTGCAAGAAATGCATAGATGCAATGAAAAGTACACATGTTTGCAAACCTACCAAAAGGTACAAACAATAATTCTGATTAAAGCGATAACGTGGAGAATATTGATCTTGTGTTGAGCCCAATAAGCCTTACATCTAAAAACAGAGCACGGGTGTTCCTTTAGTGACATCACTTTGACTCACACGCTGAAAATGGCGGATGTGAAACAACAAACTAAGGATCTGGTGATGCGCCTGTCAATCAATATTGGTGGGCGGGGGGACCGCACTCCTACGTCAAGTTGCGGTCGGTCTAAAAACTGCTCCAATTGGTCCACCGTTTTTATGTTGTTAAATTGAAAAAAAAAAGAAAAAGGACTGTGTGTGTTTATATCACGCCAATATGACAGTCTATACACCATACCTACACACATGTCTGTCCAAACAGCTTGAAAAGTAGATTTTTCACCATAGGTGGCCTTTAAGGTCAATATTATTAGCCCCCTTAAGCAATATTTGTTTTCGACTGTCTACAGAAGAAACCACTGTTATACAATGACTTGCCTTGTTACCCTAACTTTACCCTAATTAACCTTCTTTAGTCTTTAAATGTCAATTTAGACTGAATACTAGTGTCTTAAAGAATATCTAGTCAAATATTATGTGCTGTCATCATGGCAAAGGTAAAATAAATCAGTTATTAGAAATGAGATATTAAAACTATTATGTTTAGAAATGTGCTGAGAAAATATTTCAGTCAAACAGAAATTGGGGGGGGGGAAATACACAGGAGAGCTAATAATTCAGGAGAGCTAATAATTCAGGAGAGCTAATAATTCAGGAGGAATAATAATTCTGACTTCAACTGTAAATCAGTAACTCTGAATAGAAGTAAAGTCATAATGTCTATTGGTTTTTTAGCACTTGATATTTTATTATGCATGCAGACAGACTCTATTTAGGCTGTCATTCTCATGCATGATCTTGAGAGAGAGAGAATTTTGAGTTTATTGCCATTTCCGCTTCTTTGGCTATGGCATGGCAAAAAAAAAAAAAGAAAAAGATCAAGTTTACCACATTTTTATAAATACCACTTTTCTAGTTATAAAAATATTCTAACAATTAAAAGCCACCAACAGCAATAAATAATACACAAGGTAAAATACAGAAATAATAATAATGATAATATATGACACAAATCTAAAACAGTTTTTTAAGGTTTGCATGATCTTGATAATATGAAGTAATATGAGTGTTCTGACCATAAGCGGCGGCCCAGGCCACAGGCATGAAGTCTTTGCTGAGTGCAGTGCTGTCATACGGCCGGTCATGAGGAACCGGCTCCTCACCTCCAACCACAACCTCCATGTAAACTTCATCCGACAGCTTAGAGCCTCCTGCACACAAAACACACTCAAAACATTCATCCATTCATTTTCTTTTCAGCTTAGTCCCTTTATTAATTAGGGGACGCCACGGCAGAATGAACCGCCAACTTATCCAGCACGAGCGGATGTCTTTCCAGCTACACCCTAACACTGGGCAACACCCATACACTCTTGCACACAATCAGGTACACTACGGCCAATTTAGCGTATCCAATTCCTCTATAGCGCATGTGTTTGAACATGCAAAGCCAGATCAGGGTATATACAGGAATCAGAGATTAAAATTCAAGATCTTTTAAGACCTTTTTTAAGACTCTTTGCATACATTTTAAGACCTCATTACCACTTCAGGTTTCAACCAGTAACACTGCCAACATTTTAATCCTAAACTAAAACTGTTAGGGGTGTAACAATACACTCAGCTCACGATACAATGTGTATCACGATATAATGTTCACGATTCGATATGTATCACGATATTTGGAATAAAAATTGAAAATGAAACTGAAATGCAAATTTTATTTTATATTTTTTTTTATTACCAAGTAAACTATTTTTTATGTATTTCTTTTGTTTCAACTTGTTAAACTGAACCTTCTTTAAGAAAATAAAAAGGGACTTTTTCCAGTCTCTGGAAAATAAAACGATTTAAAAACTTCTTATAAAATATTATTGAAATGATTCAATTCAATTGAATTTAACAGTAAGAGCTTAAGGCTTTGCTTGGTCACTTGCGTTTTTTGTGTGTGCAATCTACATTTCCAGGTAATCAGCAGTTCTATAAAATAATCCTGAACTGATGTGTGTCTGTCTGAGAGGTTTTTATTGATGGCTGTCTTCATGTTGGGCATGATGAGTGACAGGGTGGCCGTCTTTTCATTACACAGGACAGTCGTGGCTCTTTTCAGCAGTTTAGGCAGGTTTACTATTTCTTCAGCGTTGCTGATGTCGGCGCTATTAAGTGTATCATGTTGATGTGCATTTTTGTGTACCTCTGTACTCATAAGAGTTCATGCTCGTCGTAATCATAACTCTAAAATGCGATATGATTATTTAAATAATGTGCACGCTTTCGGTTTCATTTCCACTGCTGTTCATACTTCCCACGCGGCTCCTGAACGATCACTCTGTTCCACAAACTGAATGTTGTTTACTACTTTATTACCTGTTAGTCACAACCTGCAGGTTCTGTTCACTGAAGCAGACGCGCGCGCGTCTACCATAGTCCACCCTCTGTAGTAACAGCTCACGGTCAGCTTACGTCATGTGTGATTTTGCGGCCGCCAATACATCATTATATGAAGACAGAATGATATTTTAGGGTGAATTGTACCTTATAAATACAGTATGTGACTCTTTCAACACCATTAGGAGGTCTCCATGTCGCTGTGCAAAGTATGTAAATCACTGTGAAGACTTTAAAACTTCGGCTATGTTTGACCCAGTATGCGTGTCAAAAAGCGGACGAGTCTAAAGCAATGACTGTACAACCGAAATGTTGCCAGACGTCTGATTTTGAAGGATGGGCCATCCTCTATTTCAGCTCCACTCATCTTGGTCTGCTAACATTACTGCTGCTGCAATCTGAACTCACGTGCGACAGCAGGTGGAACGTAGCTCACATGCAAACAGCTCAACTAATAAGAGAAAACGGACGTCATATCGTAATCAAATCGTCATAACGCCACGATGCATATTGTGACATTTTTGCATCACAATAAATCGTACAACGATAAATCGTTACACCCCTAAAAACTGTATTGACATACTGAATAAAAATGTTAATCCAGCAGGTTGTGCTTTTACAGCAGCAGTAATAACGGTGTTTCCCTGGTTACTTAGGTAAACAAAGCAGCGATGTCAAATCTAGCAGGATTTGTTTGATTTCATAAACCACACAGCATCCCAATATTCAAAGAATAAATTCAGGCATACTTTAGCATACTGATACTGAATTTAACACCTTGTAAAAAAGACGTTTTAATACTTTTTATGGGCCTTAAATTTCTCTAAATTAATTTCTCAATTTGTAATACTTTTTAAGACTCAGTGGACACCCTGCTGATAAAGGTGACCTGTACCGTACCATCCCACTCAGTGGACAGCGGTCATAAGGTAACGTTCAGAAAAAAACAAAACACCAGCGAAGAAACTCGACACAGAGGAACATAAAAACCTACTGCCAGCCAGCATTTCAGAAGTGTTGCAGAGTAGGGCTGGGCGATACGGCAAAAGAAAATGATCACGATCACTTTTTTCAAGTCAGTCGATTTCGATATTTATCACGATAAACATAAAATCTTTACATCTATTAATTTTATAGGATTTTCTGCATGCCAACCGCTTTGTGCAGCTGATTTAACACATTTTGTGAAATGTATTAGCTGTCTGACAATAGAAATAATTAAATAATAAAAAAAAGTATAATTTCAATTCAGTATTTACTGTTCATGTTTTATTAAAATTCAACATCAAAATAAATAAATAAAATAACACCGATTTGGAAAAAGTAAAAAGTGAGTTAATGATCACAGAATGTTCAGTTTTGGATGAACTCTCCTTTTAATGGTGAATTAAACTCTGCTGTTAATTTAAGATTTCCGTCTGGATTTTGCCAACCCATAATTAAAGGCTTCCCAAATCCACATGCAGAGGTGTAAATGCAAAACTTTGGTATCATTTTAAAGAAAACCCTTTGATTTATCAAACACTATTGAAAGTGTTTAAAATATCTGTATATGTTGTCCGTGTTATAATAAACACCTAAAAAAGAGGCGCTTTTTTTTTTTTTATAAACTCAAATTTGAAAGTTTATCTTTTAGGTTGTGTGTGGTCTAGTGTGCTGTAATTAATTTTGCTGGTTCCTGCACATGTCTGTAATGATAGGAAAAAAGAAAAATGTCTCCACCATAATTTATGCAAAAGTTATTGTATTCCAACTGATGAGAGGTGCTGTACAAGCCACAGGGAGCGATCATTGTTTTCATATTTCACTATTCTTTTGTTTGATCAAACATAATTCACTGTGTGTGAACCACGTCAGACATATAAAGGATTACTTATGCACATCACCTCAAAAACAGAGGAGAATGGCCCTGAAGCACACAGCATAAGGTAAGAGATGACAGCTGTCTGTGATATCTGGGGCTGCTTATTGATCATAAATGTATTGTTTTCACTTCTTTAAAAAAAAAAAAACTAAGTAGCTTCAGACTACTGAAGTTTATAGTGACGTTTGTTGTCAACAATGTCTGTGACTGTGACATTTTTTACTTTATTTTTTCCATACCTCTCCAAGTGCAACTAACACTGTATGGCTGTACACTTGTACTGAGTGTGGCATCCGGAAGGGCATGCTGCAAAATACCAGCGCAGCGTTGCACATAGTGCGTAAATATTATCGAACAACTAACGAACTGTCATCATCTTTTTGTCGTAAAAAAATATATATCAGGATAATTATCGATATCGAATTATCGCCCAGCCCAACACAAACAGCACGCTGAAGTATAAATGCACGACTAAGTGCAGGGCAGGTGCCATGGGTCACGGAGATAACTCGACACAGAAGGAGAAATCAGCCGTTAGACGACCTGTGGGTGAGTAAATTACCAGTAAATGTTCAATTTAGTGTGAACTATCGGTTTCAGAGGGGTCAATTCTGGCAGCTTAAAATAGTTACTCTGTATTTCTGTATCACTCCACACTATAAATCCATCTGTGCACGCTTCATACAGTCAGAGCAACAGCTCAAGGTAAATGTGCACCGCCTTGTGATACCACTACAGATACTATAGGTCACTTTCCAAAACCTTTTCATTCACCGTTCCTCACTGGTGGAAGATCTTCAAACTTCCACAAGGACTGTTAAACCACTAGTATCATCCAAACAACAGCTAATAACCTCTTCCGTGATCATGAGAAACCCTGTAAGAAAAACCAGGATCCGCTCTTGTGTGTATTGCCTCTTCTTGTTGAATCGCTGAATGCCTCCTCAATTGTTAGTTGCTTTGGACAAAAGCGTAAATGTAAGAGTGTCTCACCGTCAGTCTGTGTGTGATGACCATCTCCCACAGACATGTAGATCTTCTCTCTCAGAGGACGAACCACAGGCTCGGCCAGAGCCACAGTCTCGTTCTCGCCCAGATCTACGGTTTCTCCTGCACACAGACACAAAAACATCACTCTATCAGGACTCCAGCATGACACAAGGCTGAAGACAAAAACAATTTGATTTATTTTGCATCAACATAAAAGGAAATGTTCAGCGATGTACATTTATTTATACTGCATTAAAAACAAAGACATATTTAGTGATGCACATTTACTTTGTTTCATTAAACGATGATGATATTTCTGTTTTACATATTGATTTTGCATTACCAAAGACAAGGATGTTTTTAATGATGCTCCATTTTTTTTGGTTTCAAACATAAGCACACATTATGCACATTTAATTATTTATTTATGATGGATGTTTTTAGTGATGCATATTTGTTAATCTTAAATGACCAAAAACAAGGACATTTCAGTGATGCATATTTACAGTTGAAACCAGAAGTTGACACACAAAAAAAGGAACAAAGTGAAGTTACATAAACTAATTTCGAGAGGAGCACGTGATATGATTGTGCACCGCTGGACACTCATCCGTAATCAGTAAAATCCAATCAGAATGATCCTAGATTAATATAAAGGGATCACTTTCTCCTTATTGCTCTATCTTCGTTTTGGAAGAATCCCCCCTTCCACCCCATCTCCTCCTTTTTTTTCTCTCCCCTTTTAAAGGGGGAGCGATCGAGACCTACCTGATCTCAGTTCTCCTGATATGCTTCTAGACCGGGCGGGAGCCCTGGGCTCAAATATCTCCGAGCTCAGGGTTCTCTCCCGGGACAGCATGCCAAACCTGCTATAAGTGCCAAGCATATCTAAGTGGGAACTCTTGAAACCTTTTTTAAAAAAATGTCTGATGGTAAATCACACTAAACGTTTACTATTTAAGGTCTGTTAGGATTACCTAAATGATTTTCATTTTCTAAATGCCAGAATAATAAGAGAATTTGCTTTTTACACATTTTTATTAATTTCTAGACGTTCAAACGTTTACACACATTTCCTTGGTGTTTTTTTAGCTTTGCTTTTAAACTGTATAACTTTGGCCAAATGTTTTGGGTCTCCTTCCACAAGCTTCTCACAATAGTTTGCTGGAATTTTGGCCCATTCCTCCTGACAGAATTGGTGTAACTGAGTCAGATTTGTTGGTTGTCTTGCTCGCACAAGCTTTTTCAACTCTGCCCACAAATTTTCTATAGGATTGGGGATCAGGGCTTTGTGATGGCCACTCCAAAACATTCACTCTGTTGTCCTTAATTTGGCAGTATGCTCAGGGTCATGGTCTGTTTGGAAGACCCATTTGTGGCCAAGTTTTAATTTCCTGGCTGATGTCTTGAGATGTTGCTTCAGTATTTCTACATAATGTTCTTTCTTCATGATGCCATCTATGCTGTGAAGTGGACCAGTCCCTCCTGCAGCAAAACAGCCCCACAACATGATGCTGCCACCCCCATACTTCACAGTTGGGATGGTGTTCCTAGGCTTGTAAGCTTTCCCTTTTGTCCTCCAAATGTACCACTGGTCATTATGGCCAAACAGTTCAATCTTAGCTCTATCAGACCACAGGACATGTCTCCAGAAATTAGTCTTTTTCCCAGTGTCATTTAGCTAATTGTAATCTGGCTTTTGTGTTGATTCTGGCTTGTTGATTTTCCCCATGTTGTCACACGAGGAAGCAGTGAGGTTTTCCTTAAATACTATTCTACAGTTGGGCCTCCAATTAACTCAAATGTTGTCAATTAGCCAATCAAAAACTTCCAAAACCTCGACACCATCATCTGAGCTTTTTCAGAGGCGGAATAATCTTAATGTATGTAAACTTGACTTTCAAGAAAAGTTATAACAATTTCTCAATAAATATCTCCCTCATTATTCTGCTATTAAGCAGAACAGAAACACTTTTATTAATCCTAACTTACCTAAAAGACAAAAACTTTAGTCATATTAACGTCTGACTATTTTTAAATGGTTATGTGCCTTTTATACAGTGTATGTAAACTTCTGGTTTCGGCTGTACTTATTTTGCAACAAAAATATTACATTTATAGTAATATAGTGATGCACCTTTATTTATTTTGTATTTACAAAAATAATGACTTTTTTGATCCGTATTTTATTCTTTTGCATCAAAAATAAGGTTGATTATAGAGATGAACAATTATTGATTTTGCATAATAAAAAGGATGTTTATAGTGATGCATATTTATTTATTTTGCAAGACCAAAACAAAGGCCATTTTAGTGATGCATATTTATATATTTTGAAACAAAAATAAAGATGTTTAAGGATGAATATTTATTCATTTTGCATCAAACATAGGAATTTTTACAGTGATGGAAATTTATTTAATTTGCATTACCAAAAACAAAAGATATTTTAATCATGGTTTCCGCTACATTCAATCTTCCATGGCGGGCCGCCACGCCAAAATTGATCACGCCATGGCTACATTACAGCTTCTCTTTCAAAACATTTTATTTTTTGTAGCGGGTAGTAACCTGACAAAAACGTATTAAAAGGTAAGTGAATTATAACAGCGCAAACTTTTCTATAACCGTAGTGGTGCTGTGCGTCTTTTGTTTAACCCTTTAAGGTTATGTGCTGACTGACTGACTGACAGGTGCGTGATACGCGAGGCCGGCAAACGTGACATATACCCGTTTCACTTTACTGCAGGACGCATTAATGCTGCTCTGTAGGTCCATTGGAGACATTCATAAATATTCCTAGCAAATCTAATAAATGTTGGAGACATACTCGTTACATAAACGCACTAAATCGCACTTCAGCAGTGTTTATTTAAGAGCGCACAAGAAGATCTGCGCTTGAGCAGCGTATATAGAAGGGGGCGTGCAAGAAGTTTTGTGCACGAACAGAGGAAATCGGCGCATAAGCAAAGAGATTCACATGCTGTAGGTTATTACATAAATGCGATCTCGACTTCTAATACTGCGCTCACAACATTTTTAATTGAAATAACCCCACAGGTAGTTGGTAGATCTGTTAAAAAAAAAAAAGGCCTGCCGCCAGAGCTGGAAAAAATCCTAGAGAAAACACTGAGTGATGCACATTTATTTTTTCCAAAAAAAATATTTTTCCAAGTTTAACATAGTTTTGCATAAAAAAACAAGGACATTTTTTCTGATGCTCTGTTTATTTTGCGTCAAAAATAAGGATCATTATAGTGATGAACTATTATTAATTTTGAATAAAACAATAAGCGTTTATAGTGATGTACATTTATTTACTTTAAATTGACCAAAAACAAAAACATTTAAGTGATGCATATTGATATATTTTAGAACAAAAATAGGGATGTTCATGATGATGCATATTTCCTGATCAAGACATTTTAGTGATGCACATTTATTTTGCTTCATAAAAAGATTTTTCCTTGTGTTACATGTTGCATTACAAAAACAAGGACATTTTAGTGATGCTCTTTCTATTTTGCATCACAAATAAGGATGATTATAGTGTTATAAGGACATTTAGTGATGCACATGTAAGATGGCTAAATCTCTCCAGAATATCAGATCTGAATAACTCTTATGGATTTTCATGAGGCAAGACCATAAGAATAGCTATGCAATAATACAATAGACTTTCCGATCTGAGAAGTGATGAAGAAACCAGCTGTTCAACTGTTCTATTCAAGTCATCCTGATTAAATCTTACTGACTGTATGTCTTTGACAAGATCAGGGAAGAATGCCGGAATGCACCCTTCTCCTTTCACCCCAAGCCCCCCTTCTTGACCTTTAAGCGACTTGCTGATCAGAGCACATTTCACATAAAAGGTCCAGGGTTTAAATATGGTGTATCTGGCAGCAGTATATTCATGTTGGGTATCATTTTAAATGTTTCTGTGTGACTTAATAAGTGGACTTAATTTCACTTGTATATGTTGATTTGGTTTTTGACTTTGATTAGATCTTTGCCAGATGTTCCCCCTCCTTAGAGATGATTAACTCCCCAAATTCACCAGGCAAGGGTCTCTGTGATGCTTCTATTGTCTTGAATTTATGGCTGTTTGTTTTGACTTGAGTATACAAGGTAAAGATGTGGTATGGGTCGGGGGGATCTTTTAAAAAGACACCCCAGTGCAGCATCTCTGAGACTTATTGAGTCTTATGCTGCAATGTATTTCTCTGGTCAGGTATGCATCTCTAACTCTTTGATTTATCTTTGATTAATGGATGTTGTATTGTTACAGTCTCATCTCTGAATTGGCTTCCTGATGATTTATTAAGTAATTGGCAGAATACAATTTTACCCGATAAATAAAATGTTAAGTTTTGATTAATTCTGGAGTTTTGCGAATTCATTGTATCCAGTAGATTACGAGGAGTCTTCATTACCTTTATAGTACGGCATACATTAAATTGATTAATAGGCGCATTTGATTATACGTAGCCATAGAGAGCCGATAACATGTAGACCTTTTAGTCATTCAACCACTGGAAGTAGCAAGTTGCAGGGCTTGGCTAAAGGATCTATTTTTTTAGGACTAGGTGAACGTTATGCAACCAGCCTATTTGAATATTAGTTAATCCTGCATCCTCTGACTATTTTCAGAGTGTCGACATATTGTCCGTGAGAAGAAGCGCAAACCCGGGACATGGAACTCTGAGCGATGTTGGTCCCTAATGAACGTACAATTAGAATATCGGACCCCAGAAAATATCAAAACTTAAATTAAATCATAAATGATTAAAATTAAATCATAAATGATGAATGTGATCCGTTCTTACAATTAAAAATACAGTCTAAATTTTTGGATCATTTAAATTGAAGTCAGATTGAATTCGGAGCTAAAAAACGAATATAAATAAATTCTAATAAATAATAAAATTCTTTTCAGAAGCACTAGAAAAGGCTTACATGCATTAAACCTTCAACCATGCTGTTGGTTTCATCATTGGGCTAATAGATGGAGTCCTACACACAATAGTTTATTTTGCATCAACAAAACATTTTTAGTGATGCACCTTTATTTACTTTAAATTACCAAAAACAAGGAAATTTAAGTGACAAACATTTGCTAA